CTTGAAGGTTCTGTACAGCATTGTCGTAGTTAACAAATCCCATGAACCAGAACTCGTGATTATCAACAGATATGATCTGAATATATTTTTCAGCAGGATTCGCTTTGCTTTTTGAAGCATTCACTGCTTTCAGTTGATGCAATGGAATAACCACCTGTTAATGTTATAACGATAATTGAAAAGGGTATTTTAGACATTTGAGTTAAGAGATTGAAGAAAAGGCAAGGAATAAGGATGAGAAGACCTTGTAATAGCTCCACTGAGTGTCTTCACCAGATTTGTATGAGAGGGGATTGTCGCTTGAGAAGGCGAGTTTTGCAGTTGACATGTAGAGGATTCCCATGACGGGGCCCGCTGAGGTGGAAAGGTAACAAGCGTATGATTTCAGGAGTTTCTCATCGGGAAGCGTTTCGAATGTTGTTCTGAAGATCTTCTCATATCCGCCTTCTGCAATCACTTTTGTTCCTTGTGCAATTCTACCCACTGCAGCATCAGCAAGACTCGGCCCCGTTTTCACTGCATCTCATAAAATATCATAAATCATATTGTGCAAACTGCAAACACAAACTTTGATGCTAAATTTTTTGTCACATTTTGTTAAAGATTACAAAATTCTAATCCTATCAACACCATACTTACCAAAAGCACTTGGTTTTTTTACAACCAAACAGAACCCACAAACTCACACTACAAACAAGAAAGGGAAGTGTGTTGGCACTTTCTAACACATGCTATCATACACAATAAACCTTATCGTTTATTTGTTTTATCTATTGTGCACTTATGAATTCTTGAAAGTTTTACTCACAATTATGTTTTCACCTATACACCTAACTCTAACTAGTAAATGTAAACTATGGCAAGCTTTATATGTTGAATGAATCTGAAACACTTAAGGAGCATACACATAACCAAACTATAGCGTTGCATTCAAACTAAATGCTTCATAGATCTTGTCAGATGATGGAAAACAACATTGATTAAGAACAGAAAACACTAAACTTACAGTGTTGCCAGACATCTCCAGCATAGTCCTGCCCCTTCTTTGTTGCCTCAGCAGCCTTCTTTCCCCATTTCCCCAGCACATCCTTCACTGTATCCATCGTTTCTGATCAAAAACAGCAACACATCATAATACGTTTGAAGTGACCAACAAAGATCTAATCAAACAGATCATTTATAAACCTAATAGTTTCACAATCAATTGATCAGATCTTGAGGCTACATAAACCACTCAATAACTGACAACACTTTAACAAAATGGATCACATGCAAAAATATAGATAACTGAGCACTCACTCTTCGTGGTAGAAGCCGGCACGGGACCAGGGGACACGTAAGGATTTGATTCGCTGGGCATGGTGGTTGCCCCACCACCAGGTACAGCGTTTGAACCTTGCGGCGGATCATTTGATGACCTCGCAGCAGCTGTATACATCGGTTGCCCAACAGCAGGCGGAGGCGGCGCTTCTGGTTGAGAACCAACAGGAACCGAGGTCCAGTTCTCGCCGGCAGGTGTAGCTGGAGGAGGAACCACGTCGGTTGGGTCAATCTTAGGATAAGGAGCGTACTCGGTGGAGTGAGAATCTTCCGGCTTCTCCGTTTGCTTAGATGATTGATTCGGATCCATTGCTGTTTATATGTGTGAATCAAGGCGGAAAACCCGAAGAAATTGCTTGAACTTTGTATGAATTTGCTGGATTTTATCGATTTGGAGTTGCGCAAGCGTCCGAAGGGTTTTGGTTTACGTCTCAAAAGGGTTAACGGTTGATTCCAGCGCGTATAACCGGCGTCAGTCACGTTTTACAGACCAACTCCAGCCAGGAACCCAAACAATATTCGTTAGCATTAAAAAAAAAAAAAAAAAAATCAGTAAAATACAGAAATGGTACCTGCAGTATACTAAAAGTTTCAGATTTGGTCTACATATTTCATTTATTGCAATATCATTCCCTAATTCATTTATTTTGTTGCACTTTTAGTCCCTCGTCTTAACAACCTTTGCACCATCTCATTAAATCTTCTCACGAGAGACGCACATGAGGGTAATATTGTCTTTCAAAAGTAATTTCCATAAATTATTTCATTCCTTCAACTGTTCTTTGAGATTTGAATCTTAGATCAATTAAAAAGATTGTGATTTTCTTATTATGGTTCTCAAAATATACACTGTTAGAGCATCAGACACATAAATAAAACTTTCATATAGATATGGTAACATGACGAATTTCAATGTTGTTGGTCTACTTGAGTTTTCTTGTGTTTTTATGAAAATCTTTGGGTTCATTTGGGATTTTACTTGTGTTTTTTTCTCAAAATATGGCCATCCGACATTGTTTACGATATAAGTGTGCCATTATGGTTGCTTCCGAAAATGTTTGGGAAGAATGTATATAAATTTGGCATCCATAAATTCATGGATTTGGTAGGTATATATAAGTTCTTTGTTACTGAGACGTAACTCATTATGGTTTAGTTAGGTCATAATGTAATATCCTAAATTTTAAACCAAAATTTTCATTTTTCAAATATAAATTAAACCTTCCAAAACCATGTTCCATAAAAATCTCAAGTACCAAAAGGTTTAGATCATGATTGGATCCTTTATGTGTTAGATGTCGATGTATGTTACGTTTGTGTTTCTGGCTAAGCTGTAACATCCCAAAATTCAATACCAAAAATTTAATTTTTAATTAGGTTATTATAAAACCAACAGTATAAAAACATCACATGTCAAAACCAAAGTGTCAATAATCCAATCATGTTATCATAAAACAATATCAGAGTGTAATCCCAAAGATCTCATATGCGGAAAACATAGTGTGATGTGCTGCGATAGCCGGCTCCTTTCCTTTGAAAACGAAGTACCTGAAACCAAAATTGAAAACCGTAAGCACGAAGCTTAGTGAGTTCCCCCATCATACAATATACCATACATAACAATATTGTCTAACATATCCGGGTACTAGCTACCCCTTAGGTCTCTTTCAATCGGTAACTTGCTTAGCATATCAGGGTGCTGGCCTACCCTTTCGGTCCTGTCGATCAGTAACTTGCCTAGCATATCAGGGTGTTGGCTTACCCCTTCGGCCCTGTCGACCAATACCTCGCCTAACATATCAGGGTGTTGGCCTACCCTTCAGTCCTTTTGACCGGTACCGGGGACTATTTCACCCCTAATTCTACCAGGCATAATCCTAGTGCATAAACATATAAGTCATATACTGCCTAGCTTATATGGGTGTTGGTATACCCCTTCGGCCCTATCGACCGATATTGGGGTCTATCCTACCCCTCCTATCACATATCACATAACATCATGGCATACTAGTACATACAACATAACAGATAGTGACATACCAGATAATTATCACAAAGACAATCATCCCTTCTATAACTCTTACTAGTGGGCCGACCTTGGTGCCTTAGACCCACTTCTACTGGAAGGTAACTCACCTCGTACTACTGAAGTCCCGCAGACAAAAATCTAGCTGCTAGATGACAGATTCCCGAACTGTCAATCATCAAAATAACACCCAATCAGTAACTGGGTTCCAATATATATCCATAAGTCCATGCTTGGGGTAAAAGGCTACTTTACCCCTATCTTAGCTTGATTCAAGCTCAAGGCCCAATCCAAGGCTCAAAATTCAAACTATGAATCAAAACCCAACATATGGCCCAATTTTCCAAATTGGGCCCAAACCTCTACATGGTCTTACCTTTAGGCCCAACCATTTAGTCCAGTCCAAACATTTGGCATTCCAATGGTCCAACCTCTCATAATCCTCAAGGCCCAGTTATGGCCCATCTATGGCCTAATTTTCCAAATTAGGCCAAACCCTCACATGAGCGTTACCCTAAAGCCCATCCATATATTCTTAGTTCATAAGATTTTTCGTGGATAGCCCATCAATAGACCAATCACCAAAGCCCAATAGAAAGGCCCAACCTAAGGCCCAAGCAAGATTAGGGTTTTCACATAAAATGACGACTAGGGTTAAGTGTTTCTTACTTAACCCATTAAGGACTTAATCCATTAATTCCATGAATCTATTGGGTCAATCATGTAGTGTAGTCTGCTTAATACATAATCCCAATCCCGTCATCTAAAAATGCGGGTCCCGACAATCCAAACCCCATATATCGAAAATTAGGGTTTTCTAAACCCTAATTAGGGTTTCCAACCCAATCAGAACCCAATTAGTCCCAAAAACTAAGTCTTTAGATCAATTAGGGTTTCATTAGGCCCACTAGGGTTTCATAAGTCGGGCACCACCCACTACCACCTCAGATAGTGGTGGTCAACGGCGGCGGCCACCACCTCACGGTGGTGGTTATGGTTCTGGTCTAATTGTGTCAAAACATTCCAAAAATAGTCTAACGCAAGCAAAAGCACACCGCCACCCAACACGGCGGCAGCCACCACATCACGGTGATGGTTATGAGTTTTATTTGATTATTTCGTCACTGATTTGTAACGACGAAAATTTCAAACATTTTTTCTCATTTTAAAAACACAATATAAATCATTTCATAATTCTCAAAATCGCATATGTATCAAATGTCACAAATATAACACAATCCCATAATCATAAAAACAATCTCCTGCTAGTGTGTACAATCATGCCGGTGCCTTTCCGCGATCCTCAGAACTACCGGAAACACATAACACATCACACGGTAAGCATAAAGCTTAATGAGTTCCTCAAAATACCACATACAACACATTAGCCACTCGAGGCTATAACTCGATCGGACCCTCCGGTAAATGTGTCTTAGTGGGACCCTCCAGTCCCACAACTCAGATGGACCCTCTAGTCCCTCAACTCAGCAACTCAATATAATACACAGTAAGCATATCACAAAACAAATAACAATATATCTCAATTCACATCACATACACATAAGACCCTCTAGTCACACATAAGTTACCACTCAAGGTAAGTATAGTGAGAAAACACACCTCGTAAGCTAGCAAGTGAAAACCTCGTACTCGGAAATCTCGAACTCTACCCACCGGTCTAGCCTCCATCTAACACATAATAATTATCCCTAATTAATATTGGCCCTCAAGAATCTAGACTAGCCCTTCTACACTCACGGAAGGGTAAAAGACCATTTTACCCTCCATAGGCTTAATAGTCCATAATTTGACTAAACCCTAAAAGTCAACAAAATTCAACGGTAGGGAGTACGCTACGCGTACTCGATCTTTATGTTGCGCGTACTTGACCGCCATACATGCATCGGGGATACGTGTAACAACCAAAAATTTCAACAAAATTTAACTTTTCAAAAACAACCCATTTTAATCACGTTCTTACAAAAAGGTTTTCAATACATTTATTATCAGAGTATTCCCAGGTCCATATCATAAAACATAAACACGAGGAGCGGTACGATCACGCCTTTGCCTTGCTACGGTCTCCTGAAGAACCTGAAAAACATTAAACCACAACTGTAAGCCCGAAAGCTTAGTGAGATACCCCAAAAATACCAACCACATATACCATACACATAACATGCTATATCATATCGAATCACAGAACAACCATGCATATCAGGTCTGCTGTGTGACTGGTCCGCCCCACCGGCCAACAGTCCACCTAGTCCACCCTCCGCGTCTAGCCATATACATCGATTATGCAGGGTGGTTGGTCTGCCCGCACCGGGCCTTCAATCCACCTGGTCCACTCTCTGAGTCTATAATATGACTGGTCCGCCCGCACCGGACCTTCAGTCGGCCTGGTCCACTCTCCGAGCCTCAACACATCTGGTCCGCCCTCGTGGGGCCTACAACCTATCCGGACCGCTCGTTGGGCCTTCGAAATAACCGGTCCACCCTGGGTATGTTGGCCTACAGCACAAAGCAGGTTCCGCCTCAACCCAACCCCATTCAAACAACCATGTGCACATAAACATACAATCATGTAACAATTCATATTCAATCAAACCGATCTAGCAGATCACATAACACAACATACTCTAAGCAGGATACCGACCTAACCGGTCACTAGCATAGCATCATCCTATATACCTGGATACCGACCTTAACCAGGTCTCTAACGAATATTATCCTAACTACCAGGATGCAAACATAGTAAAACAGCAACATAACAACAATACCCGTATTACAATCCGATAAAGGGTCGGCCTTGGTGCCTTAGACCCTGTTGATATAGTGAGGATAACTCACCTCGCAACTGCTGACTGAAATGATAGATCACGCTGCTCCAACCTCCGACACGAACTTCACCACTGATAATACCAAAAGACTGAACTCAATAAATACCAATAATTACCAAAATACCCCTCGAAGTCAACTGGTCAACTCTTGGTCAAAGTCAAAGTCAAAGTCAACCTTCTGGCTGACTCAACTCGCCGAGTCAGCCCGCTGACTCGCCGAGTCCCCTAATACTAAAAAGGACCCCCTTCCAACTCACTGAGTCATCCCTTGACTCACTGATTCTTAGCTTAACTAGGAAAGGCTAAGACCTCAAGAACAGACTCGCCGAGTCCATGAACAGACTCGCCGAGTCCAAGGCTATCTTCAACCAACTCGCCGAGTTGTTCTTCAAACTCGTCGAGTTCCTACACGCCTTCAAGCAACAAGTTGAGTACACCCTTGTGACTTGCCGAGTACCGCTTGTTCTTAACCCATACAGAAGCCTTTCAGGCCATGCAATTGATCCAAAACGTAGATCTACCCTTCTACAACCCTTCCATCACGTAAAGTGGCAAACTTTACGTGAATCCAAAGAGATCTAGGCATTTTACACTCTAGGGCTAGGGTTTGGGAGAAGATGGCTTCACCAGTCACTCAATAACAGGGACTTTAA